GCGCGGTGGCGCGCGGCGTCGCGCCTGCTCACCGCTGCCTGGACGACCGCCTTCAGGGGCACGGGCGCCGGCTTGGTCGCGGCGCCATCCGACTTGGTGCCGGAGGCTGCCGGCGGGGCCGCCGGCGCCCGCGAGCGCGTGGAGGGGGGCCTCGTGGTGGCAGCGGACGCCGCGGCGCCGGCCGGGGGCGGCGGGCAAGACGCAGCACGGTCCGGCAGCCGGGCAGTGGCGAGCGTACGCCTCTGAAAGACGCCGCTACTTGTATGGCGCAGGAGCATACGGTATGCGCTGGATCTCCCTCGCGACGCAAGATAGAGTTGAGCTCGTTCCCGGGTGATCTGATGTCTTTGCAAAGCACTGCCCTTCGAATTTTTGTTTTTGGCGAATCACGATTGCAGGTATCACCACCACATTATGGATGCCTACGGTGAAATAGCGTACGGTACAGTCATCATGGCCATACTTTCATAGGAGCTGCTGACTTTATGCGCGGATGCGGTTTATCCACGAGCCAGACCCAGTCCCTAAGGTAGGCGTCTGGCGCTCGGCCGTCAACCGCTTGGCGCTCTGCTTGGAGCCGGCCTATGCGTCTGCATCTGGCGGGTGGAGGAGATGCGCTGCGCAAGAAGAGGTGTGCCGCCCAAGTACATGCCGAGTGAAGAAAGCAACAGTGCGCGCAAGAGCCGTGCTTGAGGTGTATCGAACAAAGGCGTGCATGTCGGCGAAATGCGGCCGATGGCACGCCGTGCCTTCGTGCGAGCATGGAGCGGGGAACCCCGTTGCCTGCAAGCTCGTTGAGCCCCCCAGACATCCCATAGTCGGCGATGCCTACGGCCGCCCCATTAGCTGGACCATCACAGTCATGCACAGCAGCACGACGTTGATGAAAGGCCTAACATGAAGCGGTCTCCACACGCACATCGCCGCTCAGCGCAGGGGACTTTAATAGCAACGTTCGGAACACCACCGAGTCGCATTGGTCTGCTGTGCATGAAGCGCGGCTTGCGCAGGGCACCAGTGGGTAAGTGTCAAGGCAGCGGTTGCTCATCCCAATTGAGCACCATCTCTGACAACCGCCGATGCACAGCACGGCCCTTGCCGCTTGATCATCCTGCAAGAGTGGGAGGTTTTTAGGCAGGCGGCCTCACGGTTGATGGGGGGACGTTGCACGGACGAATACGCAGCCATCAATGCAGGCTACGGCGTGCAACAGTCTGCAAGAACAACGCCAGGGCGTGGCCAAAATAGATTAGTGCCAAGTTGATTGCAAATTCAACACGCAGTACCGTACTCTGGATAGACTTTCTGCAGGAGGGCAGGATAGACGATTTGCAAGGGGCGGTCAGCTGCTGATCAGGTGTGGAGACGTGCGTGTGCAGAGTGTCGAGAAAGAGAGCAGCGGCCGGCCAGCCAACAGAGCACCGGGGCCCGGGGCTCGGCAGGGTTTGCAGCACAGGGGGGAGGACAGGGTGAAGTACCTTGGGCAGCAAGCATTTGTACGGGGTCGGGAACGGCCCAACCAGGGAGAGCTTGGCATGCAGGGTACGAATTACTCCCTCCGAGTACCCTCCTTCTTTATTCCCCCTGTGCCATCCCTCTGCCCAACCCAAGTGTGCAAGAGGCGGTCCTTGTGACGCCCTTTTGATGCTGAGTCCATGGTGTCAATGGCCACCCCTTGCAATGCAGTGTGTGCGCAGCAGGCGGCAAGCGCACATGCCAGACACACGCACCAAGAAGCAGGCGGCGCGACGTGCCATTCATGGAGAAAAAGCTGTTGCGGAGCGGGCAAACGGTGACTTGGGGCTTATGTGGCGATAGGCTTGTGGCTGCAGGGTGTCATTGCAAAGAGTGGTGGGCGGTCACCCGTCCAACTGGCAAAGGGCAGCGTATTATCCTAGGCACAATTACAACATAGTCTTCCTGTGATGTTTGCCCTCAGCTCCCTGCTGCCTGGTGTACTTGCTTTCCCTGGCTGCCGTTCGGACCCTCATGCACCACTCGGTTGACTTCAGAAACCCGCCGAAACGCACAGCACACTCCGCAAAAACAGCACCACACCACCATTGCTGTACCTTTCCTGCAATACACTGTGTGTTTCAACGTTGAAATCGTAGTGTGGGCTATCTTAAGCAGACTCGGCAACGAAAGCAGGATGCACAGCACCGCTCTCCGTGGCAGCGGCCTGAGGGCCCAGGGCAAGGCGCCACAGGCCGGGTGAGAGGGCGTGGATGGATATAACCCGGACGGATTGTCTCAAGCACGTGGTTCCGGCCTTGCCCGTGCTGATTCTGCCCACACACAACACAGGCGGAGATCGGTGGCCTTCGCGAGCGCGCCCGTCAGCCGTCGCAGTGTGTCTGTCCTGGCAGGTGAAGATTTTTGCTGTCTTGTGTCACAAGAGGGCGCCGAATGGGCGGATCCCGGGCCCTGATGATGGGTGTCCCGAATGGCCGGAAGGGCGCGAATGGGCGCCCTGTAGCTGCTTGGACACGGCTTGATACACGTGATGTGACTGATACCGGCTCCCTAAGGCCGCCCTGCATCCCTGGCGCACCGCCTCGCCGCGCAGCACACGCGCCGCCGACCGTGGCCGACACCAAGGCCCGTTTCCTGAACTCGTACAGCCGCCCGATCCCCGCGATCTACAATGTCGTGGTGCAGGAGCTGCTGGTGCAGCAGCACTTCATCCGCTACAACATTGCCTACCAGTACAACGAGGTGTGTGGTGGGATGGCAGAAGTTATGGCAAGGCTACGCCAGGCAAGCGGCAGCACCGAGCAGCGGCAGCTGAGCACCCTGTCTTCGTCATTCGCAGTGTGCAGAACATCAAGCCGACACGGCAGGCAGGGCCTGCCTATTATGAACGAAACAGCGCCAAGTGTGTCAGTCAGCGGCTTCTTCTTGTGACGATGAGGCGCAGGCGGCACAGCCGCATGTGGTTGGACAAGCGCAGCGCACCATGCTGGATACCAAGCGGGCTCTGCTTGTGATGGCAGCAAAGTGCCAAAGCATGCGCAGCGGGACGAGGGCGGGCGCGGCCAGGCACGTGTCCTGGGTCCCCGGCTTCAGAAGGGTGCCGACAGCTGGCGACGTCAGCCGGCCGCAGCATGTGCTATCGACAGCAGCTCTTCGCATTGGCCTCAGCGTGGCGGCCTTGAATACCCAGCTGCTGCATGGGTTGCGCCGCGACGTTGCGTGGCGGCAGCACAACCTCCAGTGCAGCGCCAGAGCTATGTACACAGCCGCCCCAGCACTTGCTGGCAGCTGCGGCAGCAGTCTCAACACGCGGTTTTACCCACAACCACAACTTTCTCCGTGCAAACGCACACATCCGCCCTCGCATGCGTACGTGCAGCACGCGTAGCATGCACAGTATGCACAGCATGCGCAGCACACACACACACACACACACACACACACACACACACACCAATGTGCATGGGCATGCACGCACCCGCTCTACGCGCAGGTGTTTGCCCTGGGCTTTGTGAGCGTGTTTGACCAGATCCTGGACAGCTTTGAGCAGGGGGAGCGCTCCAAGGTGTTTGAGGCCTACATCTCTGCCCTGGGGGAGGACCCCGCGCGCTACAGGGTGGGCAGGGCTCCCGCTTGAGGGCGAGGGGCGGCAGGGCGCGGCGCAAGGGGGGGGGGGGTTGGCGCCATAGGAAGGCTGTTGCGTGCGGCCTCTGCCGTCAGCGCGGGCCGCGTCATGCTGCTGGAGCGGCGGCGTTCACGGCGCAGCGGGCTGGGCTGTCGACCTGCACACTGTACCCGGTGTGCGAGGCCCGATCCCAAGCGATGCCAGAGCATCCCCGCTGCCGCCTCGCCGCGCGACCGTCTTGCAGGCTGACGCGGAGCGGCTCGAGGCCGATGCCAAGGCCCTGACCGGCTCCGAGGGCCTGGCGCCCGATGCCGAGGGCAGCGAGCTGCAGCGGGTGCTGGCGCGCGTGGCCGGCGCGGCGGCGGACGGCAAGCTCGCGTACAACAAGTTCTTCGCCATCGGCCTCTTCAGGTGGGCGCACGCAAGGGGGTCCTGCCGGTGGGGAGTGTCACGGTCGACGGAAAGCGCAGGTGCAGCTGCCAGCTGGCAGAGGGGTGGACAGGCGCAGCGTGCGGCACACCGCACCGTGCGGCCAGCCTACATGGCCCGACCCCTCCTCCTCTTTTCACCCCAGGTCCTGCCGTCCCTGACTCTCCCCTCATGTGCTTGCAGGCTGCTGGAGCTGACTGGCGCCAAGGAGCCTGCCGCCCTCGAGCGCCTCGTCAAGGTGCGGCGCGGCGCTGGCCCGTGCTCCCATGCACTCCCATGCACTCCCATGCACTCCCATGCACTGAAGTACCAAGGCATTCCCATGCGACTCCATGCAGTGCCAGGCATCCCCATGCATCCCCATGCGATCCCATACAGCCGCATGCAGCCGCATGCGACCCCATGCAGGCCCATGCACCTATGTGCCGATGCGCCACATACGGCGCATCACACACACACCAGCACAGCCGGCCTCCGCCTCTAAGAAACACCATTTCATTCGGCAGTCCAGGCACTCCCCATGCCCGCGGCCCCCCCTTGGCCCGTCCCCTTGGGCGCTGAGACTCGACTTACTATGCGCCCCCGCCCGTGTGCATGGGCTCTCCCTGGGCCCTGCACCTGCACTGTGGTCCGTGGCAGCGCGCGACATTGTTCGACCATTCTTCACCCTCTCCTCGCAAGACACACGCGCACCCACTTCCACTCCCCCCCCCCAGTCTGTTGGGGCCAAGCCCGAGGCGGTGAACAAGGACCTGCTGCTCTACAAGGGCATCCTCTCCAAGCTGTCCGCCGCAAAGGTACGCCGCGCCGCGCTAGGCCCCTCCGCGACCTGAGAAGCCCCTTCGCCCTGCGGCTGCCGGCACGCCCGCCCCGGGCAGCGGCTGACAGGCGCGACAGCTCTGGTGCAAGGGGTTTGTTCGGCACTGTTTCCACCACGCGCTCTAGGATATGTGGTGCCGCTGTGCTCCCGCGCCTCTTCAGCCACGACCAACATTTTGCCATGCACCTCCCACCGTGAACTTCACGCCCCCGCAGGAGCTGATGAAGGAGTTCCTGGAGCGCGAGAAGAAGAAGCAGGCGGAGCGCGACGCCGCAAAGGCGGAGAAGGCCGCCGCCACCAGCAGCTAGGGGGCGCAGCCCCCGTCGGGCCCGCTTGCGCGCGCCGCCCACCCTCGGCCGCGCGGCAGATGGAGCGGCGGCGGCAGTGCTGTTTCGCATCGGTCGCGGCAGCGGGGGTACCGAAGACCGGGCGCCGTTTGCTGTCCAGAGGTCTGTCTGCTCGTGGTTTGTGCGGAGGCTGCATCTGCCCAACCCAGTCGGCGCTGTGCTGGCCCAGTGTGACTGCCCGCGCCCGAATCAGAAGAGTACTTTGGCACGTTTTTTGCAGTGTTATCGCGCTCCGATGCCGGGGGAGCCTCGCCTCCTCTCCGTGCGGCGACCGCCTCCTGCGCCCCCCTGCGCGCATAGGGGCGCGCCCCCCTTTTTTGAGTTTGCACAGCACGCAGATGTGGCACGGCGAACCACCCTGTAAAGCTTGAGACGGCTGGTCTGGCTCCCGGGTGTCGTGCAGCTGCTGGGTAGTTGGAACGGATGATGTCAAGATGACGACTCAATGCTGGCGAGCTGACTCGCAAGGGCGGCTGCAACAAGCCGCGCCGTCCTGGGTGCGAGCATTTGCGCAGCCGTGAAACCGCACCATCAGAGGCCCTGACCCATCAAGGGGCATGCCTGGCCCCAGGGTGCGTTCCTCCAGTAAGGTGTTGGTTTGCCATAGCAGAGGGCTGCAGCGCACAGACACAGCACCGGCTCCAAGCACAGCGCACCCGTTTACGTCACAGATCTCAGCAGACTCGGACCGGCGAAGCCGCAAGGTGTGGTCGCGTTGTGGAATGAGGCACTGTTGTGCTCACAAAGTGTTGCCTTGTGGCCAGGGTCAGCATGCAAGAGGCATCCCATGGTCTGCTACCATACATCACCCAGTGCCAGCAGCGAGGATACGACATCTGGAATGGCCTCACCCTGGCTCCCACAGAAGGGCGATGCTGACAAAGGCTGGGCAGCAGAAGGAGAGGTAAGGCACAGCCAGATTTACAATCCGCAAGAGGGCGTCTGCGTTCTGTGCGTGCAGACAGGAGGTCAAAACACAGGGGTCCCTCCTGATGGGGCGAGAAGAGGCAGGGATTGGTCAGGTGAACGAGGGTGGCTGCGCGGCAGCACCGCTCAAAGCGTGAGGGGCCCCGCGCGTGCAGGGCGCGTTCGACTCCGGCTGACCCGCGAAGCAGCTCAGCGGCAGACGGCAGGGGACGCCTGTCGCACCGGCAGCGCACGCCTAGCCGTGGCTGCATGGCACAGCACACACACTGCTTGTGAAGAGCATCATTCTCCACACAGGTGGTGGCAGTGAAGGCCATGTTGGACCACGTGCCTGGCCCTCAAATCATTAAAGGGATCAACACCCAATTTACGATGTGTGGCAAGGGTCCCTCTTGGCTTCCACCGCACAGGTCAAAAATCGAAGTGTGGCGTGGTGCAATCACGACGGCAGTTGCTGGCGCATGCACAACATACCCCGAAACAACCAACGAAGCCGACCGAAACCGGCCCTCACAGGCGGGCTGCAGCGGCTTGGCGCCGCCCACGCCTGCTTGCTAGGGGCGCACCGCGCCTTGCATCGTCGCGTGCGCCCCTTAGTCCTGCAGCAGTGCCAGCCGCTGCACCTCAAACCCGGCCGCGCGGAGCGCCGGCGCCGCGGTCGCTGCGTCTGCGACGACAACGGCCGCCTGGCGCTGCGGGTGCAGGTGGGCGGCGGCGGCGCGCATCACGTCGGAGGCGGCGACGCCTTCGATGCCGGCCCTGTATGCGAAAAGGAAGTCCTGTCGAGCGCATGAATGCATGGGTGGGTGGATGAATTGGCGGATGGGTGGATGGGTGGGTGGATGCATCGAGGGGTGGATCGACATCGCAACAGAGGGTGGCTTGACAACCAGCACGCTAGGGCTGACAACTGGGTGCAGCATCGACGCGCAGAGAAACCCCATCCAAAGGAGGATGCGTTGACAAATCACATCATGCGGGCCGCATGTTGCGGTGTGCAGAGCCCCTCCCCCCTTCGGGGGACTGCCGTTGCCCCGGGCGACACGGCGCAGCAGACAGAGCGCAGGCGGCCAACTGACCTGCGGGATGCCCAGCAGCTCGTACGCAGCTGCGCGCTGCAGCTGGGCCGACGGTGTCGCAAAGTTGAAGACGACTGGCGTGGGGCGTTTGGGGGCGAGGGTGCAGGGGGTTATGAATGTGCGAGCCTGTGAGATCGGGGGACGCGCCTTGCTTTCCGCACTGCCTGCACAGGAGGCGCTGTGCTCTCTTGACAGCGGCAGTCAATAGGGGCGGCACATCCAAACATCGCACAGAGCGTGTGCAGCAGGATGGCGGCTGCGCAGCCCCAGCGCCGGGGCGTGCTCGTGCTCTCACAGCTGTTGAGCTTCTCCTGCTTCGCGCGCGTCAGCTTGGCGGCCGGCGGCGGCGCGGACGAAGCCGCGCCCAGCACGCGCCGCAGGCCCTGCGCGCGCCGCAAGATCAGGGGGTGGCGGGTCGGCCGTCTGCTGTGCTTGCCTCGAAACAAGTTGTTGCAAACAAAATCGACCTTCATGATCGAACCCAAACGCGCTGCAAGGCCCTTGGATCTGTCGGGGCCCTTGGATGCTGCAGTGCACTGACATCAGCGCCCCACGCAGGCACGCCGCCGCAGCGCCGCTAGGACGGCAGGACCGCACGCGCATGCGCCGCAGCGCCGCGACCCGCACGCACGCACAGGCCC